GAAAAGGAGAAGCAAACGGTAGAGGGAGGAAAGCAGAGGGCAGCCCCGGGGTCCCACGCGGCCTTCCTGCAGCCTCCTTCCCAGTGGTCCCGACCAACCAGGCCTAGAGGAACACTGAAGAGGGAGAAGCCACTGGCCCCGGCAGCCAAGCAGGGCCCCAGGCCATCCTGGGGCAGGAGGAAGACCTGCAGCCCCTACCTGCCTGGTGGTCCAATAGCTGGACACGGGGACCCCAGCCTGGGCCTCGCCCCTGGGTGCACCGACACCCAGATCCAGGGCAGTGTCCAGCGGCCTGAGCTCCTGTCCCTTCTGCCAACCCCAGCCGTGGGCAAAGGCACAGCCTCCCCGGCTCCTGCAGGACGCAGACCATATCAATGCCCCCCGCAGCTGGGAAGCCCGTGCAGGAAGGCACTCTTCTACGAAGGTCTTCGGCCTCCCCCTAGACGGCCGGGATCCCTGAGCAGCAAGAAGGCAGGGAGGGGTCAGGGCAGCTCACGGAGGAACTCTGCACGGTCACTCTGCAGGGTCCTCCCCGGCTGCAGTTGCCTGAGGGTCTGCTCCAGAGTCAAAAGCCAGGCTGTCCCCACCCACCCACACTGGGCACATGGGGGCTGGGGACTCTGAGGTCCTGGAACCCCAGGATTTGTGGAGGTAGGGCCGGGCCTGAGCCTTCGAGACTCAGTTTCCAGGCTGCAAATCCCGACTCCCACTGCTTCTCCCACCCTCCCAGCCCCTGCCCCGTCCCTGCCTCATTTTTCTCTGCACCTCCCACCAGTGGCACGTAACCACTTCCTTTCCTGTGTGTCCCCTGCTGCAGGACACGAGTCCCAGGAGATCAGGGCAGGGACCAGTTTCTGCTCATGGCTACCCTCCTGGCCCTGAGCACAGCGCCAGCCCAGAGGACAGCACTGGCCCCCATGAACGACCATCGAGTGGATCACCTACGTCAGTATGTCAAAGCCCGCTTTAGGGACACTGTTTTGCAGCTTTGACTTTGTTCCTTTTTTTTCTTTCTTTTTTAAGATGGCTCTGAATTCAAGATGCAATTAGTTTGGAAAACACTATACCGTATAAGCTGTCACAGGACTCCATGGGGCACATTACCACATTAAAGGCTCTGAGAAGTCCTGCAAAAGGAAACCGGCTTATCTCTGCTTTATGAAGAACTCACTGACCACAGGATTCCTTCCCTGTGCTCTTCACACCCCAAGGAGCCGCTGTGGCTCTGGACACGCTCCTCAGGCCCTGTCTCTCCATTGTGGCCTGCTTGGCTCCCTCCGGCCCCCACTGCACCCAGCCCAGCCCAGCCCACAGGGAGAGAGTCAGAGGAAGGGGCCGCAGACAGGGTCTTCCTGGCACTTCGTTCCTGCGCGTGTCCATCTCAGAGTCTGCATGTGGGGGACTGGGGTGTCCATGGCTCCAGGCAGACACCGCATCAGCCACTCTGCACACTCAGGGCCCCCATCGTGAGGAAAGGTGCCAGGACCCAGGGCGACTACTTGAAACATCAGAGGGTCAGAGCAAACTGTCACCCACTGTGATCAAAGTGGGATTCAGAGAACCTGAGCGGAGAGGACTCGCCCCCACAGCAAGAGACCTGGGCGCATGTTCCGCGGGGCCGCCCGCCCGAAAGCCCCGCTGCCCGGCCAGTGCTCTTTCTGCTCAGCCACCTCCAGGCCACACGTGCGGCTGAGTGGATCTCGTAGAAATCACCACACGGTCAGCAGCGTCCTGCCATCCTCTCCCGCAGGCATGAAGTGTCCTCCTCACACCTACACAAACACGACAGCATTCCAAGGCCCACCCTCGCGGCCCTGACATTGTCCTCCACGGCTGGGTTTCCAGGTCACACTGGCACAAGGCAGCCTCACGATGGCTGGTGGGGTGGGTGCGGGGATGGGGGTCCGGGCGTCCATAGCTCACGGCTGACCCTGCCCTCGCCTGCTGGGAAGGGTTGCAGGGATGACAGGGACATGGGGAGTGGCGAGGGAGAGAAAGGAGTGGGCCCGGACCCCCAGGCCCCTCTGCACGGGAGCCTTTGCCCCCACCCCGTCCTCTCTGCTCACAGATATGGGGGTGCTGGGGGCCAGGGGGCTTGGAGGAGCCTGTCCTGGCCCTGAGGCCCATAGGCACGCTGGCCAGGAGAGGACTGCGGCGGCCACCTGAGACTCTCGCCTGACCCCACCGTGGCAGGGCTTCCCGGGCAGAGCGGCTCCAGGCTCCTGCTGGGTCCTGATCCAACCTGCAATGCCCCGGCCCCCCTGACGAGCCCACAGGTAGGAAACGCACACGGGAGCCGGAGCAAGCGAGGCCTCCTGCGCACCGGCGCCCCCCGAAGGCTGCACGCGGGGTTCCTCGGCCGGCGTGAACCAGACTCCCAGCCCCGCCGCCCACCCCTCGGTCCCCTCACACATGGGGGTAAACACGCAGCGTCCGGAGAAGCCAGATCACAGCTTTCCCGGGATCATGAAAACAAACACACAAAAGGAAAATACACAAACACGTAAATCCTGCGCTAAAAATGCATTTTCAAAAGCCAACAACAAAGAAACCTGAAGCCCGAGTTGAGGATCCACGTGGGGACCCTGCTGTGTCCCATAGCAGATGCCGCAGCCAAGGCTGCCCTGAGGAGGGTCCCGGCAGAGAGCCACATCAAGACACCTCCCAGTGCTGCGGCACCCCAGGCTGGTTTAGGCCCCACCGGCTGAGTGGTGTGGCCAGCCCAGGGCCCCCATCTCCCTCCTGCCCACCAGGCCAGGCCAGGGCAGAGCCACCTCATCCTGCTATGGCCTGGGGTCCCCCGTGTAAGTGACACCCTGGAGCCTGGCTGCAGGAACAGGAAGGCAGAGCTGGCGGGACAGGCCCAAAGCTCATGCGGGACAGACTGGGGACGGAGAGAGATGATCACACTGACAGGGCCCACTAGTGACCCATCCCATTCCCAAAAAGCCAGCACGTGGGCCATTCTCCACAGTGAGGAAAGGCCAACCCCGCCTGCTGGGGACTGGCTGACCCCTGGCCCTGCCCTGACCCTGGGATGGTCACTCCCAGACACAGGTGAAAGCAAGGGCCACCGGATCCTGGCTCAGAGCTCAGTGGGGACAATACTGTCCAAATGCTGCCATGCACACCTCCACCTGCAATCGCTTCACCCGTGTCCAGGCTCCCACACCCCACCCTCTGCCAGGGGACACCAGGCCAGGGGCAGCCCACGTCACCTGTGCGGCTGCGCAGTCACATCCCTTCCCGGCGTGCAAGGCCCCATCTCCCCCTCCCCCCACCGCCGCCCTGCTTCCTCTCCTCACCCGGGCCCCACTCCATTATCTGAGCCACCTTCCAGCCCCAGGAGCTCCTGCCCCAGAGCAGAAACCAGGGGACTGCAGCTTTGATGTCTGTCCCCCCCGCACTAAACAGACCCTTTTGTTCCTGCCAGATGCCAGAAGCAGAGAAACAGGGGACACATCAGGCACAGCGATCAGAGAGCCACAGAGAGAAGAGCCGCTTCTCAGGGCCTCACCATCCCCTCACCGTCCTCCCCCCAGCTGGCCACCTCCTCCCTCTTTCCTCTCTGTCCCCTCCTGGAGAGAGTGACTCACTTCCTCTACTAGAAAAACATCACCACCGTCCCTCTCTCATCCCCTGTCCCCGCTGGAGTGCACATCAGGACAGGCAGCTCTGTCCCCCTCAAAGTAGGGAGCTGGGGGCTTCAGGGGACGGGCCACAGAAGGAGCCCGGGGAGCCCAGGCCTGTACCCCTCACGGTGGGGAGCTCACAGCCCCATCCCTTGCCTCACCCACAGATGTCACGTCGGTGCTTCAGGGAAGCCCGGTTCCATGGGACAAGGGTCCCACAACCTCAGGGCCAACCTCTCCAAGGGAGGGACACTGACATCTTTTCCCAGGCGGCCTCAACTGCCAGGGCACCTGTCCCCACACTCACCTGTCCCCACACCAACCTGTCCCCACACTCACCTATCCCCACATCTACCTGCCCCCACACTCACCTGTCCCCATACCAACCTGCAGGCCCACTTGTCCCCACACTCACTTGTCTCCACACCAACCTGCCAGTCCACCTGCCCCCTACACTCAACTGCTGGCTCACCTATCCCCATACTCATCTGTTGCCACGCTCACTTGCTGGCCCACCTGTCACCACTCACCTGTCCCTACACTCATAGGCCAGAAACCCTTCCCAAACACGCCATGCGGCCAGGCTCCACAGCTGCGAGCCACTCTTTACAAAGCAAAGGCTTGAGAGCCACCGCTAGGACCAGACGACCTGATTCTAGCCCCGGCCCCCCACCTCTGAGCCTCAGCCCACCAGCACCTGCCCCCAGGGATACACAGGGGCCACCCCCACTCCTGTTCGGCAGACGAGAAGGCTGGGGCCTGGGGCGCCCAGGAACACCAGCGAATGGGACAGGATGGAGCTGCCACCTCGCACCCACTGGGGCCGAGGGTGAGCATGGTGCCACCTGCCCTGTCTGGGCCTTTCTGGGAACAGAGCAGGCAGAAGGACCCAAGAGCCAGGGGGACGTGGCATGGCAGACGCTCCAGAGCCATGCTCTGAACACCCCCCCAAACCAGCTCACAGTACCTGAGACCACTGACACCAACATGCAGCCTTATGTGATCGCAGACACTGTCCCCATGCAGGACCTCAGACACCCGCAGACCAGCCCCCATCCTCAGCAGAGCCATAGAAGCCAACTGACCCCCCCACCGGCCCCGCACTCTCTCTGCGGCTCCTGCCAGCCTGGCGCTGGGGAAAGTCACTGTCCTCTTTCCCTCCAGTCTCGCTCTAACGCCTCGGGTAGGCAGAGCCACACGGTGAGCGGCCCCCGGAGTCCCTCACGTTGCTATGGGAAGTCACACCCAGTGCGGACACTCGGGGCCTATGTCCCGGGGAGGGCATTGCCCATTAGACACGGCCTTTTCTGGGGTGCAGAGGGACAGCAGCCGCCGGGGATGCAGGTGGGGAGGGATGGTGGCACTCACGGGAGAGGCAGCCCTCCTCGCCAGGCTGCTGGGTCCACCCTCGGCAGCACCTGAACACGGTCCGGGCCTCCGTGGCATACACCTGCCTGTAGCCCATGTAGTAGACGGTCCTGGAAAAGAAGGGAAGGGGAGGCGGTCACCACCGCAGCGGCATCCAGCTTCCCAGCTGAGCCACGGGGCGGCCGGCAGGTGCCTGGCCAGGTCCTCTGCAGCCCGAGGGGGCCGCACCCACGTGGACTAGAGGGCTGCGGGGAGCCAGCCCCGGTGGCCTCATGCTGTGCTCTGCCCCGGAGCACACTGCCCTCCCCACCCCACAGAGGTCCTGGCTCCCAAGCTGGGGTCAGAATGTGCACCTTGCTGGTCACCTGGCTCTTAGCACCAGCCCAGTCTGGGAGGGTCTGGAGATTCAGACTGGAAGGCCCAGCTCAGGAGCCAGAGCCGCTTCTGAAATGAGCTGAGTAGGCCCAGAGTGCCAGGGCCGGGCCAGCTGGGCCAGGGAGGGATGGTGCCTGTTCAGACTCTCAGTCCACCAACGAAGTGGATGGTCCCAGAGTGTCCATAGGAGGGGTCCCCAAACACCGGTGCCACAGGCCCTTCCCCCACCCCCAGGAGCATAGAGCTGAGCCAGGAGACAGGTAACCCAGAGGAAGCGGTTATGGGCAGAGGCAGGAGGACCCATGCGTGCCGAAGTCAGAGGGGAGACAGCAGGGCGAGCAGCTGGCGGGGGTCTTCCCAGGGGCAGCATGGCCAAGAGGCCCAGATGGCATGGGTCCACAGGCTGCTTCCTGCTCAAACAGGCCAGGCTGAAGCTCTCATGAAGGCTGAGCAGAGAATGACGGAGCCCACCCGGGGACTGGGAGGGGGCCCCATGCTGGGACCCCTGGGAGGGGGCTGCCAGATCTGGCCAGCCTGGGACCTGGCATAGGAGGTAGCCATAGGCGGATGGTGCCCACAGCCAGGGACAGACCAGCTCACCAAAGGATAGGGGTCCCCTATCTGTCCCCCTCCCCAGATCCAGAGGCACTGCAGGCCACCAGGACCATGAGGCCTGTGGAAGCCCAGCCACCTCAGGGCCACCCTCAGCCCAGCCCCGGCCTCCATCTGCTTCTCCAGCCCCGCACGGTGAGCAGCAGGCAGGGGTCTGCCTCCCCCAGCCCCAGGACTTGCCCACAGCTGCAAATCTCGAGCAGAGGGAGGTGGGAGCAGAGGGCGCCCCGGTCCATTCGGCTCCCAGCAGGCTGCCCTCCAATGGCTGGGCCTCCGGTCCCAGACCCCAAGTCCCGGCTCCTCCTGGTCTGGGCCTCAGACCCAGGAAGGGTCTCTGCTCCTCCAATGAGCACTTTTCCTGCTTCTTCAGAGGGGGCCCCAGCAGCTCAAGATCTGCCGACACCCTGCTCACCCTACGGGGAGCTGCCCTGAGTCCCTGTCCTCCCCCCTGCCACGCCACCTCCACCTCCCACTCTGATGAGGGTCAGCAAGGCAGACCTAAGTGCCCCCCACCCGGCGCCCTGTCTCTCACTGCTTGTACTGGCTTGAATAATGTCCCCCAAAATTCACATACACCTGGAATATGACCTTGTTTAGAAAGAAGGTCTTTGCTTAACTTGCCATCAAGTTAAGAAGAGTCGACTGGAGAGGAGGCCCTAAGTCAGTGTCAGTTGTCCTGATAGGAGAGGGAAGTTCGGACACAGACACAGGAGGAGGCCACATTAGGCGGAGGCAGAGGCTGGAGCGAGGTGTCTACAAGCCCAGGAGCCACAGCACTGCGGCCACCCCAGATGCTGGAGAGAGGACCAGCGCCCGCCCACGCCTGGACCTCGGGCCTCTGGAAGTGTTGGTTTCAAACCACCTGGGTTGACATAATTTGTCACAGCAGCCCAGGAAACTCACACGGCACCTGCCCCTATCCCAGGGCTATGAGTCCTCTGTGTTTGCAGGACAGAATGGGTCACGTGGATGTGTGTGGGCAGGAGAGGATGAAGAGACAGAGATGAAGAGAAAGAGAGATGGAGAGACACAGAGAGACACGGAGAGACAGACAGACAGAGAGAGGTAAAGACAAAGACAGATACAGAGATAGAGAGAGAGTCAGAGAGACAGAGAAGACAGAGACGGAGAGAGTCAGAGAGAGAGAGACCCACAGAGGTAGAGAGACAGAGAGAAGAGTGACAGAAGGAGGGGGAGATGGACCACCTGGGGCCGCCCCACAACCCTAAGGCCCCGCAGCACAGTGACCTCCCTCCCCCCGCCACTGTCTGTACAGACGGGACAAGGGGCCGGGCCAACAGCCACTGGTCAAGGGCCCTTGAGCCCCTGGGAGGGCCAGGACGCCCGGGCTGCGATCTCCAGGTAACTAAACTCCCCCTCGGCGGCTGAGGCTGGAGCGCGGGAAGCTCAAGGTTGGCCCTGGGGACCCCGACCCAACGAGCAAACAGGGTGGCCGGCAGGCCGCTTCCCGCAAGCGTGTGTGCGTGCACATGCCCTGCACACAGAGACGCAGGAGCGCCTTGCAAAATGCCACTTTTGGCAGGACATGAAACCACTTGCCTGGACAGAAACCGGCCCCAGCAGCAAACAATATTTGGCAGAGCTAGGAGTGTTCGGGCCCTTCCACTGTAAATATTTATCCCCTCTCCCGGGGCCGCAGGCATGGCCCGGCTACATGCAGCCGCTCCCAGCCACGGGTCACCCCTCCCCACGCCCCCTAAAGTTAAAGGCCCCTGGAGAGGGACAGTTGGCCTGCAGCCCCCATGGCCCCTGTGAGGACTGGCCCTTCATTCCCCTACAGCCAGTGTCACACAGTTGAGGCCACAGACACAGTGTTGGCTCCATGTTCAGAGCACCTCTTTGCTCAGTCCCTTTTTCCTTCCTTCCCTTGGACCTTACTCCTGGCAGGGGGGAGCCCTTTACAGGCCTGCGGGGCTCCCCGGGCTGGGCTGGCCTGTGCTGGGATTGTCGGGGAAACACCCAGTGGGAGGGCTGACCACGAGACCTTGGGCACCCCTGTCTGGCCTCTCAGGTGTAGTCGCGCCTCACCCGTTCTGGGCTGGGCTGGGGTGCCCGTCACCCTCAGTGGCCAGGCAGCCCAGAAATCAGACACAGAAACCAAATGCCCGCTGCCCTTCAGACTGCAGGAGAAATGGCAGCAGGAGCCACCACGTAACAGCCACATGTGGGGCCTGGCCCGTGCTGTCACTGAATCCTGGCCCCAGCTGCAATCCAGATGGGGACACTGAGGCTCGGACAGATTCTGAACCTTGCTGGAGCTGACCCAGCCTGTGTGCTCGGACACAAAGTCCATCCTGTGGCCCCTGCCCTGCCAGCCACCCCACAAGCTTGGGAGAGAAGGCATCTCCTGTCTGTCCAGGGGGAGAGAGGGTGGCCCTGAGCTGGGCAAGTTGGGGTGCAGTCACTTGTGCGGTGCAGAGCTTCCACCTCCCGCCCTCGGCTTCCAGCCTCTGCAACTTGCTCTAACTAAATGGAGAATTCTCCAAGGAGAAGAATCTCGAAAGAAAGAAAAGGCTGGAAGCCAAACAGCACAAGGACACGTCCCTGACAATAAAACCCCAAGTGGACAGGGTCACACCGTGGCAAAGCCCCACATTCATAGCCACATCCCTCGGGGCCCAGGCGTGAGGCTAGTGACGTCCTGGAGGCTGAGGGGCATGGGTGGTGCCCTGTGTGCCAACTCCAATGACTGCTCCTCCTATCAGTGCCTGACAGGCTCTGCCTGCCCTACACAGGGACTCAAAAATGAGGTCCCCATCACCTTCCAGTGGCTAAGATAAGCACCTGCCATGCTTGGGCCAAACTGAGACCAAGTCCCAATGATGCTCTGGATCCAGGTCCTGAATCGGTGCTGGCTCTGCTGGAGACGAGGAGACCACAGCCCACACTTCCCTGCCTCAGCCTCCCTCCCCTGGCCTCACTGCCCCCACTCCCCACCCCAGCCAAGCTGGCCGAGCTGCTCCTTGTCCTGCTGGCAGCCTTCAAGCCTCAGTGTCCTCCTGCAGGGAGATGCAGGGATGCAAAGACAGCCTCTGGCTTCCTGGAGGTCAGGGAGGGCTTCACAGAGGAGGGCATATTTGAGCTGGGTTTTGAAGGGTGAATAGGAGTTCAACAGACGCTGTGTGCCTCGCAGCTGGCACTCAGGCTGGGGAGTCAGATCAGGATTGACATTCGAACCCTGCCACTCACTCCCTGCATGACCACAGCTACGTTGCCTAAACCCTCTCCAGGCCTTAGTTTCCACATTTTTAAAAGAGAGTTTAATGGCTTCCTTGCAGGAGCTGAAAACAATGCAGCCACCCACAGGCAGCCAGACCATCCTGAGCCATGGCTCTCCCATGCAGGCTGGTCCCAGGAGCCAGATGACCACAGTGGGTCTCACCAGCCAGGCATGGGAGCAGCCAAGGCCCTGCCGGAGGCTGCTCTGCTCACAGGCACCCTGTTCCTGAGCCTTGCTCCATGCCAGGCAGCCCGGGAAGGGCATTCTGGGTTAGGCTGACAGGCAGGACCCCTGGGGTGGGAAATGTGGTCAGCCTGTTTCACGGATAAGAAAAAAGAAGCTGGGGTTACCAGGCTGATGAGGTGGAGCCAGCAATAAAGCCCCTGAGCCCCCTACGGTGCCAGCCCTCCCTTGAGGCACCATTCAATACCCCCGGTGCTCTGGGGATCCTGCCTAGGGCTGTCCCGTGGGCTGCAGCACCAAGCTCCTGCCCTGCCTCCCCCCTTGCCCTCCTGAAGGGCAGGGATGGGCCTCCTCTTCTACATCTCCCCAGATGCCAGGGCCCTTCCACAGCTTGACACACTGGCTGGGTGGCAGGAAGCAGGGCCAAGGTCCCCTCCCCTGGCTGGGCCCCAGCGTCTTTCCACACCCGCACATGGCCGCAGGTGTGGGAGAGGCGAGGCTGCCTGTGGGGACACAGGAGGGCGACATTGCGCCCGCCTCCCTTGCACTGCCCAGAGCCCACTTGGGATGCTGGGGCCATGACCATGTCCACGTGGACTTGGGCACCTGCTCATAAGCACTGGGGACTCACGGGCAAACACACAACTCAAGGGCTCTGGGTTAGGAGTGGGGGGCTCCTGACATGGACTGCCTTCCTGAGAAGGATGGACGGCAGCTGCTCCAGGTGCCAGCCACAGCCTCGGTGTTGCTGAAGCGACGTCTGGATGAGTTCCTTGGGGGAACTTCCCACAGTCTGGCACAGCCAGGCTCTGCCCCAAGTGGCTTGGGAGGAAACACGGGACTCGTGAGCATTCCAATGCATGCTGACAGCACAGCAGCATCTGAGGGGACTGAGCCTGGCCACAGTGACCACGTGGTGCTGGTTCCAGTAAACTATGCAGGACACTTCATCCCCTGTGGGCACCGAGGTTCACCCGGGAGAGAAGTGGGGAGAACAAGTGGGCCTCAGCCACACTCCAGAGCCAGGCAGACTGGACGGCTGACCCTCCCCCACCCACAAGCCCAGAACCCAAACTGCTCCCATGGAACCCCGAGGCAGAACTGCCACGTTCAGGAAGAGAAGTGCTCAGTTGGTGAAGTGTCCCAGACACCTCGAGCTGGACAGCACAAGGAAGGGATCTCCAGAACCAGCCTTGCATGCAGGACCCCCAGGCCTTCCCAGGAAACCCTGTCACAGAACATAGATCCACAGACACAAAACGTGGCAGAAACACCATGGTCCCCGCCTGCGCACGGCTGGGGCAGCGTGGCCCTCCCAGACCATGGGACTTTCCCCTCCGACGCCCTGGACATCCTGCCAGGAAGTTGAAGGCACCCAGCCGCTTCAGAAGCGCTGGTCCCACCCTACTTTCAGGCCAGCCTGGAGACCATGGCAGAAAAGTCATCTGAATGGCCAGCCACGGAGGCTCCCCCAGCCCGGCCACCCACGGAACTCTCCAGCCCCGGGTCCAAGGGGCTTCCGGCTGCTTCCAGAAATGGCTCCCTTCCACAACGAGTTGTTGACGGAGAGATGTGGTTTATGTGGCAGAATTCCTGCTTTGTAAATACGAAGGATCTTCAGAAGTTCGTGGAAGGATTCATACTATCTTCCAATCCCGTTTCTGCACGCACTGAGGTGCCCTGGTACAGTCCACGCACACACGTGTGAAGTCGGAGGTTGCACTGCAGGATGCACGTTTCTGGAGGAATGACGGCGGGGGGAGATTCTTCTTTGTGCTAAGGGTCCTTCCGCCTCCGCCCTCCTGACGTGGGGGCAGTGTCACTCGTCCTATGCTCTGTAGGATGTTGCTAGCACCCCTGCCTCCACCCAGCTCACGTGCAGGCTGGACCTCCGTGTCCCATCAGACAAGCCCACGTCCCCAGAGGGAGGGATAAAAACCGCCCCTGGTTGAGAACCGCTGTTACAGCATAACTGTACCTTTTTCCTCCTCTGCTCCGAACAGTCTGAATTGTACAACACACATTTCAAATGAAAGCTGCCTCCTCCAGCCGCCCCGGGGCTCCCTGGAGCAGACCCAGCAGACGTGGCGCCCCCACTCGGGCCACACGCCCACACGAGCAGCCAGAGCAGGGCCGCACCCCCCTGCCCCGCGCCCCACGAGCCCTGGCAAGGAAGCCGAACACCGACCCCTGCCTGGGGACGCACATTCCCGCCTTCCCTCCCCCGGACGCGTGGAGAGCCTCCACCTTACTCAGGGCAGCTGCCAGCCACCCCCACCGCCCAGCTTTGCAATCAGACAAATGCTGCAGAACCCGAGTTCATAACGAGGAGAGGTATGCAAAGCGTGATTTTGAAATAAAATCTTGAGCAATAAAGGTTTCACATGGGCTTGGGAATGAGGCCCAAGGGTCGAGCAGCTGCAGTCTCCAGCCAGGACTCAGCAGGCAAAGCACCCGTCTCCCCCACTAGGGAGGCAGGCACAGGGCGAAGCAGAGAGGACTACAGCCCACCCCGGGGCATGAGAGGCCTTGTCCTCAGACGAGGGGCTTCAGGAAGGGGAGTGCAGGTGGCCCAGAGGCCAGGATGGACCCCCACCCCCAGCTGCCTGGTGCCCGGGTGGTCAATGCCGTGAGCAGAGCCCCACCAACATCGGACCGCAGGTCCCAGGCACGTACCTCCTCTCGTGGCTGACGCACCACGCCTGCCACCCGCATCCCGGCTTCCACACGGGCACCGTGCGGCTGAAGGTCCGCACACAGGGCTGGCGGCGGCCCACCAGGGTCAGTTCCTGCTCGGCACACACGTGGGGCCTGGGACAGAGGACACAGACAGTCAGTGCCTCAGCACCGATGGCCGCTGGCACCAGCCCCTCCAGCACGCCCACCCTCAGGTGGGGAGCCATCCTGCATGGGCTCCAGACCTGTGGCCAGGCCTCCCAGCACAGCGCCCACCCCAGGCCTGCAACAGAGCCCAGGATCAAGAGTGTGGAGCTCAGAGGAAAAGGGACAACCACAGAATTCCCCACCCATGGGCTACGTGCTGCTCGCAGTGGTGATCCTGATCTGCCAAGACCCCTGCACCATGGACACCACCGCCCACCCACAACAGATGGGAATGCACAGTCACAAGGTACAGTAACGCCTCGTCCAGAGTTCAGGACTGACCTGAGTCCACCTGACCCCTCCACCCCAGCCCTCCCCGCTTCAGCCATGGCCCTCAGCCAGGAGGGTGGTGCCAGGGCAGCAGGGGTAGATGTTTGCCCCATGCAGAAGGACAGGCAAGGGCAGGCAGGATGCCGAAGTGGGGGATGGGGAGGGGCACAGCCAGCTCCTGGCACCATAGTCCCCTGCCATCTCGGTGGCTCCCAGCATCCTTTGACCCACACAGATGAATGTTTGGACAACCAACGTGGCACACTCTCAGAGGAGGTGGTGGGGCTGGGATCAGAGAAATGAAACCCCCATCCCCCACCCCCACCGAGCCCCCAGCAGCTCCCCTTCCCGAGGCCTCCCCAGCCCAGGGATGGCACAAACCCGGGGAGGGGGCACACAGCAGCCAAGGGTACTCCAAGTCGACCTAAGTCAACTCCAGACCCCATCAGGCTTGGGCAGGTAGAGAATGGTCTTGGGCCCTGCTGAGGGAAAGGTCACAGGGAGGGACATTCTGAGACGGCCAAGCAGGCGGCGGGTGAGGGGCAGAGGCAGATTTCGGGAGAGAGAACGAGGCTCTAACGCCAGCGTCCCACAAGTCAGCACGGCACTCGGGGACTCTGCCCGCCCTGTCCGGCCACCCTGGCCCGAGGCCCACCACCCCCAGACGGTGCCATCACAGCCAAAGATGTTCTCCTTCCCCTTCTCGCGGGCTCATGCTGGGAGGGAAGATATGTGTCCCCTCCGATACCTGCCCACCCCACCGAGAGCAAGTCAGGGAAGCCTGGAACCCCCCACCCCTGGCAGCAGAGGCGGCAAGAGCATGAAAGCGTCAAATGGCAGGCCACAGCTGGGACAGCGGCGTCCCCACAGCCCGGCCCTCTGGCTCCAGCTGCCCATCCGTGAAGGGGCGGACAGCCGCCAGGTCTGCGCCCAGCCTGCAGGGGCCCAGGCCACCACTAAACGTGTCCCGCCTGCAACCTCCTGCCCGAGAAGTCCCACTCTCGCCCCTCCCGCTGTGCCCCAGACTCGCGTGCCAGGGCAGAGGCTTGCCCACCCGAGGCCGCGTCCATCCGGGAGCTGGGTCTGCGTGACTGCAGTGTGAGGACCTCAGGGTGCAGGGCCGGCCAGGGCACACCCACCCAGGAGTGGGACCCAGGCTTCCCCATGGACTCCCGGATGGGACCTGCAACTGCGGCCTCTTCCTGCTCCACAGAGACCCCCAACCAGGAAGGGGGTTACTCCTAACGGGGGGCAGAGGTCACTCCTTTGGGGAGCACCCCTCGGTCAGTGCTGACACCACACCCTTTCCAGACACATGTATCATCGAATCCCAACTCCCCCGGAGGAGGTGATAGTGACTCCCCACGTGGCCTGCCTGAGGTCACCCGCTAGTGACAAGAGCCAGGACTAAAAGCCGGGCGTCCCCCACTTTCCCCAGCATCACTGGGGCTCCTGCCTCTCAGGAGGCTGGACAGAGGACACCTGGGCTTCTGCCTCCAGGGGCCGTGTCATGATGGGCCAAGGACCCCAGGGTGAGAACGTGGGTAAGGGGCAAGGCAGGAGACTGGATCAGGGATGGGGGTCCCATCATCACCAGGAACTGAGTCTTGGTCTGAGGAGTCCCTGTCCCCACCCCGTCCTGAGCATCAATGTCAGATGGTCCAATGGCCCCCGGGGCTGCTGCCATCCTCCCCTGACCTGCTCTGTGCCCTGGGAGGCCCACCTCTGTGGAGTACGTCCCCCTCCCCAACACACACGCCTGCACGCACGTCCCTGCCCTCTGGCTGCCCGGTGGGTTTGTCCAGTGGGAGGACCAGCGGGAGACGGGGGTAGGAGGAGAGAGCAGCTAGAGTAGTTGCCCCCCACTCCCATGCTGTGGGGCACTTGGTGGCAGCTGCCTCCCCATCCCGGCCACAGCGCAGCTCTCTCAGGCTCCAGGAACCCCCCACCACCTCCCTGCATCCTTCTCCCAGGGGTGGAATCGGCGTCCCACTGCTGCACACCCGGAGGTTTCTCATGCAGGCCGCAGCACACACGCCTCCCTGCAGACCCCTCACAACCCGCTCATGGCAGAGTGCCACCCCTGTCCTCCTCCGTGACAGACACACTGTCCCTCCTCCAAAAACCAAAATGCCAAGTTTTCATATGATGATATCGAGTTGCACATTTTGGAAGACAGAACCCACGATGGACACATGTACCCTGCCCTGGCTCTATGGCAGCATCACGCCATGCAGTGGTTCTCAAAGTGGGGTCCCGGGCCAGGACCAGCAGGCTCTCCTGGGGCTTGTCAGAAAGGCACATTCTTAGGTCCCACCCCAGGCCCACTGAACTGTGGGGGTAGTGCCCAGCATTCCTGCAGATTTAGCAACGGCTGGCGTTTTAACAAGCCCTCCAGGGAGCCTGACACAGATACGGGTTTGAGAACCCCTGGACTGGCAGGTCAGAGCCAGGCAGCCCAGGTTGGAATCTCAGCCGACGGCTCACCATCGGCAGGACGTGCCACTACGGAGCCTCTGCCTCGGTCTCCTCACCTCACCTGCAAAATGGAGACTCATGGCACTGACCTCGCCAGGGTGTCGTGAGGGTTACAGGAGTCAGTACAGAAAGGGGCTCCTGACAGTCCTAGATAGACGTCAGCTGGTGTTACCATCGATGCTGGGACCCCGCAGTGAACAGGCTGTTCATTCAGGAAAAAGTGCATCCGCTAATTGAAATCAGGGGTTGCCGTTTTTACTCCGAATGCTTTGCCCACACCTGCTTCCTGCACCGCACCGTCAGGGGTGAGCCCTGGACAAATGCCAGCCTCAGCTCCCTGTCTGTACAGAGTGGAAGTGGGAGGGGGCTGAGGCCGATGCCCTCGGAGCTCCGGCTGCAGGGCTCCAGCCCCTGACTCTGAAATAGCCCCCGTGCTGAGGGAGGCCACCTGGAGGTGGCCCGTCATTGTCCCGGGATGGAGATGATGCCGAGGCGGGCAGTTACAAGCACGGGCTTTAGAACAGACGACCCAGGTCTGTGGCCCACTGTGCCACCTGAGGACAGTCACCAACCCTCTCTGAGCCCCAGATTCAGCATCTGCAAAGTGGGCATGATGACAGCACATGCCTCCAGGACTCCAGAGCACCCTAGATGAGGCCACGCATGTTAGGAACCTGGTGTGGGCCCACGTCCCCTGCCCACATGTCCCCCCAGTTCCCTCATGCTGACCCCAGCTCAGCACGTAGGATGCCAGCACCGGAGCCCCAGGGAGGTGGAGCCCCAGGGAGGTGGCGCCACAGAGCGCAAGGGTCCTTTGTGTCAGGGGAGCGGGGGCTGCGGGAGGCAGGAGGAGCTGGGCAGTGGTCCAGCCACAGGGTTGGGGGGAGGAGAAATGCCCCACACAGACCTTGGCAGTGTCGGGCATGACAGAAAACACAGAGCCAGGGGCGTGGAGGTGCTGGGGCTCCCCTCGGCAGGGCCTCTTGTCCTTCATAACCCTCCTCAAACCTCGACCATCTTGGCTGCTGCTAATCTGCAAGATGACAACACTGAAGGACCCGTCCCACCCTTTGCCTGCCTACCCCAGGTCACACGGCAGCCCTTCCAGCACATTCTCTGGTCACTGTCTGGTGCCCTGGCTTCCTGCCCTTCATCTCCCCAAGAACCCCTCCCCCAGGTGGCCCTCCCCAAGGCCTGTGGCCCCCTGCCCCACCCTGCAGCCCAGTCTCTAGTGCAACTGTGGTCAGCGTGGACCGCAGGGAGTCGCACGGCGCGGCCAGCCCCCGGGGCTGCCCGGTGCAGGCGTATCCCTGAAGGCTCCCGGGTGGCCTCAGCCCTGACAAGATTGCTGTATCATCAATCACGGTTACAGGGAGGAGAGGGGAGTGCTGGCACCTCGAAGCACGGAGCGGGCTTTTGTGTTTGGGAGGATGGAAGTGGACACACCCCTGCCCGGGAGGAGGGCAGGTTTGCTCAGAAGCGTCTCCCTCGCCTTTCTGTTTAAAGCCTCCATTTTTACCGCACGGGCTGCCTCTGAACACCCTCTCCTGGCCTGGGTGCAGCCCACATGTGGGAAGCACAAGGGTCTGGGTTTGGGGAACCTGGTTCCTGTCCTGCGGCCCCTCCGATGCCATGACCAGGCAGGTTGCCGGAGCCTGTGACTCTTGGTCCCTCAGGTGCAAAGCCATGAGACAATTTATTGGAATGTCACACGGATGTGCAGGGCCCAACGCGGCAGCTCTCAGGCGTGAGCTCCCTCTCCTGCTCCTCCCTGCACCCACCCCGCAGCTCAGCACCCAGGAGAAGCAAGAGGCAAGGCCCTGCCAGCTGTGTAACTCTGGGCCCCCCGCGGGGTGCTCAGAACAGCCCATTGACAGTACAGTTCAGCTTTGTGACTCCTAATGGGGTGCAGCAGGAGGAAGCCAAGTCCTCAGAGGTCGGGGTGTTGGAGCTCTCAGGGCCAGAGGGTCCAAAGAGCTACCTGCAAGATGGGACTTGAGCTTGGAGGAGCCCGCCCCGCCCCAGATGGGAGGGGTCAATATAATCAACTGATTCCAAAGCACGTGGCCATTTTCTTAGCACAGCTGCCCACGGGGCGCTCCAGCTCAGGGAGAAGCTCAGAGCTGTGAAGCAGGTGTATCTCCTCCAAAGCGTGGAGCCTCAGACCATGGCTGGTCCGAGCCTGCTGGTCAGTGCTTCAGCAGGTGGGCAATCTGGCTCCCGCTCCCCCTTGGCCCCGCTCCTGGAAGCCCAGCCAGCAGCCTTGGGCCATGTGGTCAGCAGTGGTTCCAGGGCCCAGGAAAGAAAGGCAAGTCGTTCCTCCGTGGCAGCAGAAATTCACTTTGGAGGCAAAGACAGACAGGCAGACAGATAAGCTTTGCCCGCTCCCAGGATGGCGCTGAGTCTGGGAACATGCGGTCAGGGGGAGCCAAAGCGCTACCAAGATCACTCTGGCAGGTTCACGAAGGTCCACAGAGCACGTGGGGCTGCGAGTCAGTGGGATGCGTCCCCTTACCACACCCTTCTTACCTCCCCCTTAGAGGCCCATGACTTCTAGCACCCGCCACAGGGTGTCCGCGCAGGAGGTCAGCAATATCGTTTAAACCGGCCAGAGGGAGTGCTCCAGGCCCTGCGGCTCTCAGATCTCTCGGAATAAGGATGGCAGAGAGGATAAGACTGGCAAGGACCAGCACTCTCTGGGACCCTCGCTGCTCCCCTGGCCCCCTCCCCTCTCCTCTGGGGTGAGGGAACAAAGAGCAAACTCTGGAGCCACTGGATGGGCCCCATCCTCCATAGCCCAGAGGAGAAACGTCTCCGGGGTCTGGGGGAACAGAGCTGTCCCCCACGCGTTCAGCCAGCCAGCCCCTGTCCACTGCAGCCCTACTGTGTGTCCAAGCACGTGCCAGGTGCTTCCGAGACAAAAGGTCTGTGGAAGGTGTATCTGCCGCTGTCACTGAACTCAGATTCACACGTGCGGGGCAATCTGAGAACAGAGGCCCCAGTTGGATGCACCGCAGGCCAAGAAACAAGGGAACACAGGCCCCCAGAGCAGCAGCCGTAGCTGTGGGGTGGGAGGCTCCCCCAGGCCGAGCCCAGGGTTTGAAGAGCACGGAGAAAGGAGGGGAGGGGAGGCCTTGGGAACAGCGTGGAGCGGGAAGAAGAGACCCACTCTCTCACGTAACCCTTTCACGGCTGGTCCAAATAGCTTTTCCCCAGACTCGCTAAGGGCTTCCTGAGCCCCAGGTGAGCATGCAGAAGACAGAAAAACTGACTCTTGGCTCCACCCCTTCCCCAGGAGCTCAGCAAGCACAGGCAAGTTGGGTGGGGGGTAAAGGGGAGCCCAGGGGGGTGACCGGCAGTTTCTACAAGCGCTGGGGGCAGAAGCGCCCTCAAGAGCAGAGGTGTCCATCTACCTACGCTGAGCTGCCCACGCCGCCCAGCACCCTGCAACTCCCAGGAGCTTGTACCCTTGGACACCCCGGGCCAGCCATGTGAACAGAGGCTGGTGGAGCAGCAGGCCACGGCGGGGGTCCCTTCTGAGGCTGCACCCCCCACCCCGCGAACAAACGGGATCACGGGAAAGAGGAATGTCCAGCAGAAGTCATGTGGAGTCAGGGCTTAAGCCGTCCACGTTTCTGGATGCAAAAGCCCCTGACCCCGAGACGGTGCTCCTTTGAAACGGCTACAAGGAAGTCTTCCTTCCTGGAGTAAAGTGAGACCCAGGGCGCACGGAACTCTTCCCCTCCCCCAGCTCCCCGTGAAGGCCTGTCTCCTCCTGCCCGGAGAGCTGCAGCTCTGTCCTGCACGGCCAGCTGACTTGGCCCTAGCGCTGTCACAGGAGGCCCTAACCCCTGCCTGGGTCCTCCACCCGCCCTCCCCAGCCTCACGAAGCTCTGCAGGCCCCAGCCCGGCACCCTGCAGGCAGCAGCCTCCCCTCCTCCACGTCGGCTCACATCGGCACCGGCTCTCCTTTGAGGCCAACACAAGGAATGATTTGCTGTTTGAGAGACCGCTAAGCGGCCCGTTGGGGAATCATCTTTCAAAATTAAATCCATCTCGGCTGGCTCCCTGACCCTCTCTTCCTGCCCATTCTGGTACTAAATTCCTTCTCCAACAGCCCCAAAGCGCACGTGTTTAACACACAAAACCAAGTCTGTGCAGCCCCCGCCCCTGCAAAGGCCCCCAGACCCCAGGACACAGGCTTTGGAGGGAGGTGGGAGCCGCTGCTTCCTTTCTGCCTTCTCCAAGCCCGGGTCCCTGGCTAGACCCTGCCCGGCAAGGGGCCCGGATTCCTCATCTCTTTCCAAAGCACAGCATCCGCCTGAGCCTGCGAGACCCGAATCACAGAGCAAAGGGACAGGAGGAGGGGAGGGACGGGAGGCGCGAGAGCCCCTGCCACAGAAGCGCCCCCAGACCCAGCGCTGGAACCTCGCGTCTTGACCCCCCCTCCCCAGTTAAAGGCAAAGAACCCATTGTTCTGGGGCCCAGGGACAAAGCCTCGGAGCTGTGTCCACGGCGGGCCGCCCGGGGCCCGGGGTCTGCGGACGTCCCGCCGATCCCTCCCCGCTCTGGCTACTCACATGCCGGGCTGCAGTGTGAGCAGGGGCCGCGGCGGGGCGCCGGGCACCGCGGGCAGCAGCAGCGCCAGAGCCAGGGCCACCGCGCGCCCCGCCGCCCTCGCCTCCGCAAGGCTAGGCATCGTGCGCTCGGCCCCG